GTCGGTTCTGACTCTGACATGATGGCAATGAATGAGTAAGTGAAGCCTCTCAGGAAGGGTCTATGACAAGGAGACTGTCCAGGGGTGGTAACTAACTATGGTCATGGATTTGAATGTGACTGTCATTTTCCCGATTATCCTCCAAGGCCCAGAAAATGTTTCGATTAGAGACAAGGCTCCTGACCATGCTTTCCCAAGATATCTTATCACTAAGAAGCTGAAGGTTGCCCAGCAAGAAAGCTGGGCCACTTGAAGGTCATCTGCCCTGGAGACCTTCACTCATGTGGGTAATGCCTTAGTAAACACCCATGAAATGCTGATTAGCTGTTAAAATTTACCTAAGTGGATTTCTTACCTTGAGACTTCCTCCATGGGAGACCTTGTACCTCCCTGGCTAGCTGGCTGGCACCTGGGCTGTCAGCTCAGTTTGGCAAGCTGTCTTTTGCTACTGAGTGAACTTTTCTCTTCCTGACATGATTCTACTTTGTTAACCGGGAACTACTTTCTGGTGAGGAAACCAGCTCTCTAGTTTCAAATATTCTGATTTTTTTTTTAATGGAATTTCTTTACTCCTTAAAATGTTTCCCTTTTCTCCCTCCCTGAGTCTTGTAGAGCAGCCAGGACAAAGCTAAAAAGCTCTATGGTCTTCAAGATGATCAAACATTCAGCTCACAGCACTCACTCTGCCTCTGATTGTTTTTGTCGTTGGGTATATTCAACTCAAATGAAGCAAAGCCTACTTGAGTTTGTTTCAGTCATTGCAATTTTTTAACTATGGTCAAACTCAAACTCATTACCGTCGAGTTGAAATGGACTTATGATTGACCCTCCATTGGGTTTCTCAGAGTCTGTAAATTGCATTGGAGAGATTTTTTTCCTCTCTCTTGCAGAGCTGCTAGTGAAATGGAATTGCCAGAGAGGTGTCACTTTTGAATTAGGAGAACAACTCCCTACCCACTAGGCCTTCAACTATGTAGTAGGAGTTGGAACTCATCTCTATGACTTATGGTTTTGGAATTCTAACACTCTGAATCCTGGGCTGTCGTGAGCATTCTGTCATATTTGCCAAGAAAAAAGTCGGTCATTTTCATTTTGGGTGGAAGAGGCTTGGACTCTCAGCATTTTCCCCTCACCCACCTGGAGCCATGAGGTTTGATGCAATTGATCTTTTGGGGGACTAAGATGAACCAATGTGGAGAGAGAGAGAGAGAAGCCAGCATATGGTCACCAGAGATGCCAGGGCTGCCAGTGGCAGAAGTGGGTGGTTTTCACAAAGGTGAAATGTCAGAGAGAGGCTGTATGGTCAAGCCTGGAGATCCTAACCTCAAAGAAGAAACTGGCGTATTGACTGGATTCTCCCAATTTTTCAAAACTGCTCTAGGACAGCTTTTAAATCAGAATTTGAATAAGAACTGACAGAAGTTCTGAGCTGGTATGGATTTCAGATAGCATTAATGTTTGTGTTAAGCAGCATAATGCCCTATGAATGGACTAGACCACTAGTGCTTTCTATTTTGGACGGAGAAATGACAATAATATTTTAATACCCAAAATGGTTCTATGTAACAAACTGAATTGTTAGTTGGGAAGAAGGGGGTTATTGGAGAAGGACTTGTTTCTAGGTTAAAAGAACCGCTAGTTTTGCCTTTCTTTAATGACCAGAGGGGATGAAAACCCCTAAGAATTTATGGAGAAAAGGATTTAAAAGGAAATGTATACTGTGATAATGTTTGAAAAACAGAAATTTCTAAAATTTTCTTAAAAATGCTTAAATTAAAAAGGCTGGGATTTTAAAAAAACCAAACAAACACAAAAACGTTTACCCCAATGGACATCTTTCCCATGTAAAAAATCCAGGGATTATTGTAGTGATTTTTGTTATTGCTCTTAGCAAAACTTGGGTAATATCAGGAAATTTAAAGGTTAGGCAACAATTTGTTGATGTTAAGTAACATGCCTGTTTTTAACTGAATTCTGCTTCCATTCCTCCCATGATATCAGTCTGAACAAGTTTCAGTGAGCAATCAATTGGCCTTAAAAGTAGCAGAAATATAAAATTGGGTCTTAAAACTCAATTAATGAGTAGAATTAGATAACCTTTAAGTGGGAATAATAATAGACTTGTGAAAAGACCCTGCTGTTTTTACAGGCTGGCAGACAGCAACTTCAGGGTCTGCCACCACCTTTATGCCTTTCCCATTTTAACCACATCTACCACCACATCTGAAAAGATACATACACAGAAAGGCCCATTAGCTGGAAAGTCAAATGAACAACTCCAGTGGGAACCAATCACCCAAGCTCTAATCGATTAGGGCATTTTCTAAAGATAACTTAAGGAGATTCTCCCCCCCCCCTTGTTTCCCTATGTTGCCCCTTAGGTCTCTGCCCACGTAGCCCCTTCCCCTAAAACCCACAACTTCCCCCACCCCACTGGAAGCTGTGTGTCTCTGGAGACCCTGAGTTCCCTCACCCAAGCTGTGGGAGCAGATGCTTGTTTTTTTCTTCTGCCCTCTCTCGGGAGGCCTTTTCATGAGAAGGCCGAGAGGAAGTGGGTTAAAGATGACCTCTGCTCAGCACGTACCAAAATAAGCTGAGTTAAACAGTGGATCCCCCAATTAACTCGCAGAGACCATTCTACCGACAATGCAGAGACAAGGAGCCCCCACTCAGGCGGATGCTTCCAAAGGGAGGCCTTTCCTAGCTTCTCGGTTTACTCACTGATTCCAGAAACTAGACTTTGAAATGCAGAAGGTCCTTAACCTGCCCGCTAATTAGGGAGGACAACTGGAGGCTGATCAAACGGGGAAACACGAGGGAAGCGTGCTCATTCTGGAGAAAGCTTTCAAAACACTCCTCTTCCGTGGGCCAGGCATCTCGACACCCGCTAGGTGCTGGCGTGTGACGCAGGGGCTGCCTGTCTACCCAGTTTTTACATTAACATGTGCCTCCTCCGGAATCCCCCACGCCGAGCGACCGGCCCGCAGGGCGGCTCTCAGAATCTGCAATCTATCGGGTTTGGGGCTTTTACGACGAGATTCGAGGGAGCAGGGAGGTCCCACGGGCCGGAGGAGGGGACCTCAGAAGCATGCCCTTCTCCCCAAGAAAGGAGGCCCAAGTGTCTGCGTCTCCGGAAGCTCCGGGGCCACGTGCCCCGACTGCCTCTCAAGAACTGTCCCTTCGGGTTTCTTTCCCCAGACTCCACATGGGGAGACAGCCCGGGCCCGATCCTGGTGCGCGAAGGGTCCACAAAAGAGGGGTTCTAGATCAGGAGAGGCTGGGTGACCGCGCTGCACAGAAACCGCTCCGGGCCAGACTGTGGGGAACTTCTGCCTTGCCCCCGCCCAAGAGCGATAGCCCCCTCCCCCAGGAAATAGCGAGCCTCCCTATTTAAACAATAGCCCGGCCACCACGTTGGGGGTCTGAGCGGTGACTTGACTCACGAATGAGGGGCGTGCGCCTGGCGCGAGCTCCCCGCACAGTCAGGCATCCAGGAGCAGGCTGGCCATTCTGAGCGCCCCGCTTAGCTTTGGATCCTTCCGGTGAAAGCGCCTTCCTGGTACTTTCTCTTAAAGCTCTTTGGGGATTAACGAGGACTAGGCTAAAATGAAGGTGCAAAAAGGCTGCCCTCACGGAAGAAGAAAGAAAAATCAGTGAAATCGCCTCGGTAGTTCAACCGCAGGTCAACAGCAGCATTTCCCCAGCAGCTGACAGGTCAAATGGTCAGGAAACAACAGCCGAGAACAAAGCCCCCCGCTGTTCACCAGAAGCCAGCCCTTCTCGTCTGCCCTGGGCAGTTCTGTTGTGCTTCTAGGAGGGGGAGGTGGGAAAGGTTTCTGTCGTTTTCTTCTCCCTCTTCCCTCCCATCTCCTTTCCTCTCGGATGAGCAGGTAGGATTCTGAGACTGGAGAGAGGAGGGGGACCCGGGCGCCTCCAGGGACGGCAGCGGCTCTTTGATGGCGGAGGTCTGAATCGCTTCTCGGGTACAGAGGCGAGGAGCGTGGAGCGAGGAGGAATGTGCGGAATGCGGCAGCCGGAGGACGGGGCGCAGCGTGGCGGGCAGGCCACCTCTGATGCCCGCTCGGGTCTTCGCAGGTGCGGCCACCAACTCGGCCGAGGCCCGCGCACTGGTACCCTCCAGGTACCTGGATAGGGCGCTGGCCTTTCATGAGTTCTGACTTCTGGATTGGACAAAAAACTCATTTCCCTGTAAAAGGTACAGAGTTTCGCCAGCTTTCACTTATGTCAAGCATACTCTGCCTGCACTTGTGTCTAAACAAAAGGTCAGAATTCTCCGCTGTCTGGACTTTGAGATGGAAAATAGACTCGCGCTCCCCAAATATACAGTCCGATTGTCTCCCGCTACCCAAGGCGCGTTTCGCCTGGCAGGAGTTGGCCACCTTCCAAGGGGAGCTCGGAGTTAAGTGGCCGGAGAAAAGATACAGATCGCTCCTTACAACGTCTGAAACCCACTTTGTGTTTCTTCATTGAAGGAGAGCTGGTGAAAAATCGAGCCAGCGGGACTGGTCCCACCTTCAACACTCACCCTCCTCCCCACCTCTCAATTTCTCCTGATTGGACCCAGTGAGGAGTCGAAACGCACCAAAGGAACAGGCCTACCCTGTCCCCACCTGCTCCGGGCTCTGGGAAGCGCTTCCCTGTACTCACAGATGGGCAGCACATACAAGAAGCTTCACTGGCGAGGAAAGAACCGCTACTGAGTGTAAATAGAGGCGGAATCGCACGCGAGAGCGAGCACAAGTGACCTGCGAACGGCCGACAATGTCCCTGAGGACTTTGGAAGCTCAAACACAAGAAGAGAAGCACACAAAACCCTTGCAAACCTGAGCAGATCAATATGCACAAAGGAGAGGACGGAGATCCCTGGAGTCACTCGGGCTACTCCTCCAGTCCACTTAGGGTAGGTGGTCGACCCCCTCCCCCCCCATCACTATATGCATCCTAGTTCACAGCGCCCAGCACTAGGCGCCAGCTATTACCTTTCAGCAGGCATATGTCTGTGCGCTCGGCGTTCCGGCGCAGCGCCTGCACCACCAGCGACACGGTGCTGTCTTCGCGGAGGCTTTCCGCGCGCGGGCTGCGCTCGTCGTAGACGATGACTGCCGAGTAGAGGCCGGAACGCAGGCGGGCGCGCACCTCTTCCTCGGCGGGCAGGATCTGCTCCAGGCTCACGGAGCCCTTGGCCCGCCGGCGCACGATCGTATTGCAGCGCACGTTGACAGAGCCTCGGATGTAGCCCGCGCTGTGAGCCAGGAATGGTCTGCAGTCCAGGAGCAGGCACTTGCCGCCGCTCAGCAGCCCCAGGGCGCCGTGGCTGCCGCTGGCTCCCGTGCCGCCGCCGCTCTCATCCCGGTTCATAAGCCTTTTGAGCACGCTGCAGTCCATCTCTTTCAGCTTCTCCACCGTCACCATGATCGCCAGGAACCGCGGGTGCTGGACGCACAAGGAGGCGAAGGGCACCCCGGCTGGCGGGGCTGCTGGAAGGGGCGGGCGAAGGGTCGGGGAGAACCCGTGCAGAAGTGCCTGTAAACTTGGCTCTCAGAGTCTACGGCGATGATCCTTTTCTTGCCGTCCTTTCCTCCCGCAACCTCACGGTTACATAGCAGTCCGAGGGGGGCCTCTGCACTGCGAGCGCCGTGGAGGGGAAGGTGGCAGCCGAGGGAAGTATGTTTACGAAAGAGGACCCAGGGCTCCCTTCTGATGTTTCCTCTGTTGTTTGGTTTGTTGTGTTGCTGCTGCCACTGCCCGCGCCAGCGCTGCCTCTCCAGCCTCCGTTCCCGACTCGCCGCCGGAGCTCCGCGCTCTGCCCAGCCAGAGTTTCCTCCTCTGCTTATAGATTTATTAATGCTCCTCTGCTCTCCCCCGGGAGTGGGGGGGTAGATTCATTACTACCTCGAGAGGCCCCGCCTCCTCCCATTCTCGGCCAGGCTTCCCCCTCCCCCCGGCGCTGGCTCCCCGCCCCGTCCTCCGCCCCGCAGGCCCCTCCTCCACCCCCTCCCGGACGAGTGAATGGAGCGCCGGTCGCTCGCGCCCAGTCACGGGGACGCGACGTCACAAAGAGCGGAGTAAACAAGGAGCTCTCTGCTCTCCGCCAGGCCCATTCATAAATCCGAGACCTAGAGGAAGAGGGAGCGGCCTGCCACCGGCCGGCTAGCGGCTGCGCCAGGACTTTGTGAATGGAGCGCAGCGTTGCTCGCTCTGCGCGCAGGGCCGAGACCTTACCCGCGCGCGCACAGCCGCGGCACGAGTCCTCTTTCCGACACACTACCCTCACGCGCTCAGTTTGCCCCGAAGAAAACAGTCAATAAACTGACCTAGCAGACACTAGCAGTTGCTTTTTTAGGTTTTATTTTATTTTAACCTGTGCTCCTCACTCTTCCCCAGGCGTTTAATTGTAAGATAGCCCGTCTCCTCGGTTCCACAAGGGAGAGGCGAGGGGTGCCAGGCCGCCCTCCTTGGGAGGCCTGCGCCTTTTAGCCTCAAATTTAAGAATTCGTTCGGTTTGCCCAGACCTCTTGTTAATATGATTCCTCAGACGTTGTCTTATGCATTAGTGTGATCAATACTTATCTTAAGCCTTTAAATTAGCTTTATAGCTTCCCGAAGAATGTGAGTAAATCCCAATTTAGAAGATGAAAGATGAAGTCCTCCCTCCCCTACGGTGATAAGAGTGAAGTGTGGGGTTTGTTTTACGACCCCGACCCAGGGTGGGGAGCAGCATTAATTGTGTGAATGTGTTGTTCAGACGGAAGACTAGGGCGCCACTCCCATCCACGTTTCCTAAAATATTTAACCCTAGGGAGCAGGGAAAAGTGTGTGTGGTGTGGGCGTTTCGCTTTGGGGAAAATCCTCACCCCATCGTGCACACGTGTAAATTGCCTTCTCAGGAAATAACAATTAGGATTTACATTTGGTGCGGAACTAGTCCTTGAGAAATTCATGCGCTAGGAATGATCGATCTTTTGAAAGCATTCACTTACTCAGATTCTGGTTTCTATTCAGCTCCTGTAAATGCTCCCCACTCGCCCCCAATTTTACTTAATACATTTCATTCTCTCAGGGGCGGGGGTGAGGGGCGTGCGCGCGCAAGCACTGGGGAGCTGACAGAAGCCAAAAATTATTTGCACGACATCTTGCCAAATCTTGTTAGAGAGAATTAACCACCGAGGCGGGAGAATTGCAGGATTCACCCTGAGGCAGCCTCCGGGACCGCGGGGTAGGGTCGCGTGGAAGCCCTCCCACCATCCCCTCCCCGGACTTCCTAGCCTTCCTGTCCCTTGCCTTTGTCCCCGGCACAGATACTTTTCACTGCCCCTTCCTCCTGGTCCCCAAGGCCACTTCCATTCGTTGAACCTGGGTAGGGGCCTCTCCCTGCTCTCTGTACCCGGAAGCTCCCGGAGGCCTGGACTAGACCTGGTGGGCGAAGCTGCCTGGAGCAACAATATGTGTCGGTTCAGTACCGTGGTAGTCTTGCAGTGATGTTTTTGTTCATCATGGAATTTTTGCATTGATTTTTTTTAAAGCACTTTAAAATACTTATTCAGGCTATACCGTTTTTTTTTAAAAAAAAAATTTGCATCGTAGGCGGAAAAGAGCTACAGCTACCCACCCAGGCCACAAGGCGACACGATCTCAGCTTCTGATCACTCAGAAGGGTAGATGAGTGGTCACAGGCTGCGTGCGTGGCGTTCCTGGGAAAAGAGGCTTATACAGAGGCCTCTTTCTCGTTCTACTTAAGTGGCGTGAGGCTCTCGGGATTCCCTCTCTAGCACGTGGAGGTTGCCTTTTCAAAGATGCCCCAAGTAAAGATTCCTGGGCCCTGAGTGTCCTAGAGGGCCGCTCAGGAATCTGACCCACGGCCAACCCCCATCCCAGGGCAGCTGGTTGTTAGGAGCTCTTCCGAACCACAGAAACAGACTCTTTTTGCACGAGCTTTGACTGGGCATTTCTTGGAAGCACCTCTCAGTTGGAGTCTGGCCAAGAGCGATTTCACACGTGTTCCAGGAGCTGGGGAGGGAGACGTTTCTGCGCTGCAATGCATGGCTAGTCTTTGTCTCCCATGTCCAGTCAGTGTTCACGTGGCCAGTAAATAACAGCCGAATGGGGTGCGGGTTGGGGGTGGTGCTCAGGGAACAAAGAGTTGCTTCCTGCACCTGACAGCAATCCACGATGGCGCAGCCCGTGAACCCCGCGGGCGATCCGCACGACACGGGCGTGGGCGCGTGTGAGCCTGTGTGTCCGCGTGCTGCCGCGCGCCCCTGTCCTTGCCGCGGGGGACAGGGGCGGGGCACTGCGACCGCCGATTTAAAGGACTGAAGAGAAAAGAATTTTTGAAAGAGATTAATTTTAAATAAAATAATTCCTCCCCATTCCCTACTCTTGAATTAGCCTTCATTTGTGTGAAGTTAAGTAATTGAGGTTTGAATTACCTTATTGCACTTATCCAGATGCTATGTGTGCTCATTAGGTGACAGTGTGTGTGTGTGTGTGTGTGTGTGTGTGTGTACACCATTAGTCTCTCAGTCCAATTAATGCAATGTGAGGGTTACCCAATATAAAGATGATAACATTTGTCACCATTGGCTACAGTCTATTAGACAGACTAGAAAGTGGTAAACGTAACCAATTTCCACAGGAAATTTGTAAAACAGCTTGTTGGTATGTAGATCTTGGTGGAGAAAACACATTATTTGACGATGCTGTTTGACTGTCACTTCAAAGTTAATTTAATTAACAAAGACTTATCTGTAGGCATAAGGGATAGATAGACTTGCCCAAGGAGAGGTATTGTATTTATATTCAGCAATAAGCCTTCTGGTGACAATACTTTAAAAATTCTTTGTGACATGTAAACCCAACCTTTCATCAGACAGTCCTTAGACTGACCTTATTAGTCACTGTCAGGCTCTAGCAAAACTCCTGGTCCTGTTTTAAGATTTCTTTCCAATTAGGAAGTTGTGTTATCTGGGAATTTAAAGCCCAGAGTAGAATCCCCAGAGAACCATGGCTTCTATTCTGGTTTTGATTCAACCTCTGACTCACTGCCCTGTCCCAAGGTGTCTGAATAAACCTCGCCTGAAAAATCACTAATGAATTAATCAAGGTGGCTCCGGAGAGAAAGATCTCCTGGTTTCCCCTTTCCTGAACAATGGAGTCTTGCTCCATTACTCTGAACTTGAACAAAAATGAACCATTTAGAATGTGCCCCTTAGCATTCATTTTTAAATTAACTGATTGGAAGATTTCACTTCATAGTGGAAATAATGAGAGCAAATAAATGTAAGCTGGAGAGCCATCTCGCGTTACATGTGGCAAAACAGGAGGCTCTGTCTACCCAGTGCAGTTTTGGCAACATGAACAAAGTTGGAAAATGTCTATCTTTCCCTGCCCACGTTTACCCCCATTCACGAAGAACTTAGAAGATGGAAAATTCATCAGAAAACTAAAAAATATGAGTTGACATCACCATGAATTAGAATTGACTTGAAAGTAATTGTGTTTTTTACTTGCTAGGCAGCCACTGGAAGACTTGTTGTTGTTATTATTGTTGATTGCCTTTGAGTCGAGCATGACTCGCAGCGACCCTATAAACAAAAGGCCTGAAGCCCTTCTACAACCATCGACATTTATCAAAGTTCATAGAGTTTCCAGAGACATGTTATTTAGGAGGTGGATGCCATTCCTGCTCTGGAAGGCTGAGGCAAATATCATTATAGATATGAGTGATATTTTGAATTAAAAACACACACAATACAATACATTATAATCCTGCATGTGTAACAAAAACTCAACACATAGTAAAATACATAGCAATGTTTGTGTAAAAAAAAAATATATATATTTTTAAAAATATATTGGCCTTGATGTTACAGATCTGTTCACCAGCTTCCATTTGTTTTCTCTTCATAATAAAATGTTGTTAAGTGCCATGTAGTCGACTATGATTCATATGAACCATATGAACAGATCTGAACCTGGCCCTATCTCACACCATTCTCATGATCTCTCTAGCCCAATGTCATTATGTTACTCCATCTTGTTGAGGGTCATCCTCTCCTTCTCTGACCCTCCACCTTTCCAAGCATGATTTCATTTTTCCAAGAACTAGCCCCTACTGACAACATACGCAAGGCATGTCAGAAGTTTCACCATCTTAGCCTCCAAGGAGCATCCAGGTGTACTTCCTTGAAAACATACTATGTTCTTTTGGCAATTTATAAGATATTCAATACACTTCTCCCATGCCACAATTCAAAGACATCATTTATTTTTCTGCCATCTTTATCCACTGTCTGACTTACGGATGTGTAAGAAGTATTGAAAAGGCTATAGCTTGGACCAGGCACACCTTAGTCTTTAAACTAACATCCTTGCTCTTTTAGCACTTTGGGGAGGTCCTTGTAACGGATTTTTTCCAATGCAACACATCTTTTTATTTCTTGGCTGCTGTTACCGTGATGTTGACTATGGATTCAAGTAAAATGAAATCATTGACAACTTTTAATATTTCATTAATATTTCTCCATCTATTGTGATGATACTTATTGGTGCAGGGACAATGATTTTC